TAACAAACAGGGCTATGTCCCGTCAGGGTCGTTAGCTCGAAGTCCTGAGTTAGACTAAGCAAAAGAGCTTCGGTTTACCACATCCGTATGGCTTCTGGATTTGATTAATTCTCTTGATCACAATTAAGTATTACATAGTATAGAGTAAATCTAACGGATGACATGCATGGACTGTTTACTGNTGTCCCGTCAGGGTCGTTAGCTCGAAGTCCTGAGTTAGACTAAGCAAAAAAGCTTCGGTTTACCACATCCGTATGGCTTCTGGATTTGATTAATTCTCTTGATCACAATTAAGTATTACATAGTATAGAGTAAATCTAACGGATGACATGCATGGACTGTTTACTGTTACCTTTATTTTGGCACCATTAACATGTGATACAGAACAGACACACCCATCTTCACCAACCTTTAGCAAACCCTGCACATCATTTACAATCACTCATTAATCTTGTTATTGCTCATGGACTCTGGACCTAATGGATTAAATATCCTTAACTGATCTTCAGGCCACTCACAAAGTTTGAGAGTCCCACCTCCTATGAGTCACAAATAATGACAGCTACTTTAGATTGCATTATCTGGATTTTATTATTGTTTTCTTGCTTATTACGTGCTTACATATGGCGTATGGCGTATGTGATTAGGGGTGCTAATTGGACTCGTTTTGGATAAGATTCGGTTCAAATTCAACTCGTATTCTAAACGAACTGAGTTTGAACAATTTTTTATGCTTATTTAGAAAAACGAACCTTAAAAGCTTGATTCAAACTCGGCTCGTTTATATGTAAAAATAGTCGAACGACTCTAACTCGGCTCAGGTTCGGCCCAGGCTCAGACTCAAACTCAGCTCGAGTTCTAAATAAGCCAAGTTTGAACAATTTTTAAGACTTGTTTAAAAAAAGAGCTTGGTAGGCTCGGACTCAAACTCACAAAGCACGGCTCAATTAACACTCCTATATGTGATGTTTAAAAGCAGTGTCTTGGTTTAGCATAAATCAGGTAACTTAGTTGTCTGGAAACCTCTCGCTTCCCCGTTGACACTAGCTGTTGACACTCTGACTCCAAACTAGAGTGTGGCTCTCAGATTGGCCTCCAATTCTCCCATATAGATCCATTTTTGTGCAATCTTTTGATCCATCCAACCATCTAAGGATCTATTTGTGGTTCTTTAAAAATCATTCTCCTAGTTCTACCACCTAGTTCTACCACTGTAGGGAGGAAAGGAAACACCAAGGTAATAAGCATTATAAATCAACTGGTTTGTTTAAAAGACGACGACTTGCAGTATAATTGCATTGTGTCTGTGAGAGAAAGACCTTGATAAGGAAAATGAAAATGTAAATGAAAGGCCCAATTTTCAATGAGAAAATGTGTCACCAAAACCTTGAAAGGTATTTCGCAAGAGCCTGGCACAGAGAAGATTAGCATCATTCTTGCGTAAGAATGACATGCACAAATAAAAAAATAGTTTTTAAAATATCCCAAGTCTGAATGGTTTTCGTAAGTGCTTTATATAGCTACCATTGAGCCAAAATCCCAAAGTTTGAGCCATGCCAACACTGATAATAGAGTTGCAGAACCATCCAATTGTATCCCTTTAGTGCTGAACATCAAAATGGTGCACTCTCTTTCTCTCTCTCCCCCTGCTAATGTGTTACTGTTTTACAGGGAACTTACCATTAGCTGAAAACAAAATTCAGTCATGGATTGAATTGTACTTGTAGGAAATACCATGCACAGAGAAATATGGAGCGATTTTTTTTTTCAATTCAACGGTTAGTAGTGTTCAGACCAATTTACATGCACCTCGATTAATTCTCTCTTCAATTCATCAAAGGTAGGTCATCAATTTCGAAATTATGAAATTTATGAAGAATAAGTCTCTCATGACCTGATTCTAAAGAATTATCAAAGTTCAAATTCAAAATATTTAAATTTACGGTCCGTTCCCACCCATTACCACTTGAGCAATGGGTTTCAATTAACTAATATATAATAAGATCATTCGAGAGTCACCTTCGTTGACTTTGTAGCTACTTTAACATCTGCATTGATTGGCTTCCCAATGAATGCATGTGGTAGAACAGTGGGCTTATAACCCCTAGACCCCTCAAATCTGTTTGCCAAGAATCACATTTGGTGTCCAACCCTCTAGTATTTGGTTGCACAATTAGGCCTATATTTAAATAGTGAGGTAGATTAAACAAAAAACTCTAACTTCTATGAGACCATTTTACCCCCACAACAGAACTTGTTTTTGAAGAACTATATCTTACCTCGAAAGGAAAATTCAATCACTGAACTTGACCACAAGTGATACAAGGAACCCAATTACAAGCACTAATGAAACATACACCCTAGTCTTCTGCCTGTCATCTTTTTATTTATTTATTTATTTTCTATTTTTCTTTAATTTTTTTTCAAAAACTATGTATATGAGAAGAAGGACAATGAGTTTCGAATCCACCATCATTAAATCCAATAATAGGACAGGACAGGACGATAACCATTAGAACAACCGATGAATCCTCTATCACTCATTAGTTCAAGCTACAAATTTTAGCAGGTGAAAGTTTCAAGTGGACCCCCTATAATCTGGACCCAAAGCACCAATCATTGGACCTTTAGAATTCATAACATAATGGAAGGCAATAATGATACAATGACACTTACGACTCATAGTATTTCTATGGTTCACAGCCCTGGTGTAGTGACATAAACTCAATAACAAAATTTCTTGGTAAATCCATGAGACAAGTAACCATGATCATTTGTTAATAGCAATAGACACACAAAACAAAAACAACTTTTTTTTTTTTATGATAACAACATCCCAATTAGTTACCTTTGAGTTTCTGACTTTTACTACCACCCTAGTAAAGGTTTTCTTGTAATATTCAAATTTAATAATAATTCTCGAAACTTTTTCATCCAAACTATCGAGTAATAATTTTCGATTTTCAATTGTATTCCTCCCATTTGACTGAGCGAAAAACAAACACAAGGACTATAGTTTTACACAATGATAAAAAGGTGCATAGTTGAAGGTCTCTATCAGGGGAGCAATTTTTGATGAATTCAGATTTTT